TCATTCAATAATTTATAATTCAATATAGACCTTAAGGTCTAACATCAAAGATCTTTGTGTTTCAATTAATCCACTGGGCCATGGTATTGTTTCCCCCAAGCAAGGGCCTATTAATCAAAGGGCCATGGTATTGCTTCCCCCAAGTGAGAGCCTATTAATCAATGGGCCATGGTATTGTTTCCCCCAGGAAAAGGCCTATTAATCAATGGGCCACGGTATTATTTTCCCCGGGTGAGGGCCTCACTAATGGATGCCACGATTACAATTCAAAAGGGACATTCATTTATAGATAACAAAATAGAATTCACAATACCAATCTTAAACAATTTCCAAAATATATTTCGAACATAGCTTTATAATGACATTACTCATGGTGGGTTAAATCGATATTAGGCCTCGAATGCCCAGCTATACAATAAACATAACAATACACGCATTGAAGCACAAGTCTCAACCAACCATTCTATAATTCAATTTTTGTTTTATGTGTTTCTAGCTTATTGCATGATTAAGGATGTTCACATGATGCAAAATAATGCCTAAAAGCCCATGAGGATGCAAATATGCACTTATAAGTGTTAGTTAAAATTTACTGAAAACAGGACTGTTCGCTTAAACGCATCTTTGGTCACTCGAGCAATGTGGCATGTCTGCAAAAGTACTGGATGGTCAAAATGTGCGTTCGATAGTCGCCCGAGCCAAGTGCTGAACAAAGGGGAGTTCACTCAAGCGCACACTTAGTCACTTGAGCCAATAGCCAAAAGTCTGTAAAAATACAAGATGCCTACGATGTTCGCTCGAGCCAAGGATCCTTCACTCGAGCGAACTGAGCGAATTATGGGATTTCCAAATTTGAGTTTAAAGTTCAAAAACACCCTTTTCTTGTTCAAAGCTTGCATGGTTAGTCTCAAAAGCTTAGAAACACTTTATAAAGCATGAGTAGTTGGAAATTATGAAGCCATGAATCCTAATTCTCTTCCAATTCTCCAAAACAAAGTTCAAAACACTATGTTTTTGTTATGCATGTAGTAAACTCAACTCTTTTATTTACAAAACATATTTACATGAAATCTTGAGTGTAAAATCATGAAGAATCCCAAGAAATAACTTGTATAAATTCCATGCATGTATAAATTTGTAGAAAACTAAATTCAAATATGGAGAATTATGCATGCATGTACACAATTCACTCAAACTCACTACATTCATGGTGATTCTAACTCTTTTCTTTCAAATTCATGCAAATGGTCCTACAACTTGGTGAATTCATCTTCCCACGTAGATTATCTTCATGAATTATGGTAAAGATCTTACCTAAAACTTAAATTGAGGTTGAGTTAGCTAAATTCCTTTAATTCTTCCTTCAATTCTACAATCCTCCATGTTCTCTCTCAAAGTTGAAGTCTTTCTCTCTACAATGTTGAGCTCTCTTCTCCTCTCTCAATTTTTAGCTCAAAAAGATGACTCAAATGAACTCTTAAGCTTGATTAACACACACACACACACACATATATAGGTGGATTAAGGCTTAACTAATTAAATAAGATTAAGACTAATCAATTTTAATTAATTTATTCTAATTATTTTGATCCGAGTCAAATTTTAATTAAACTTGTCATATGGTTCTAAATATTCCAACTAACCTATTGAATTAGTCAATTACGGTTTCTGAATCTATTTGGGCTTTCAATTTCAAATTTCTAAGTTAGTATTTAAACAGATAATTCACAAACAAACAGATAAGTATCAACTAAACACATAATCATGCAAATATGCTCAATGAAATAATATATAAAAATAATACAGAGGTTGGGATCGTCACATATATTGTGTATATGTGTGTGTGTGTGTTTTATTTTTGGGGGTGGGGGAATCAGATATGATTATGTGTTATTAAACTTTCTTTTTGACAAGAGTAGAGAACTTCATTTCATTATGCACCATACTTATTATTTTCATATTCCACTCTTACACACTAGGTATTATTTTCAATATATATATGCTTATCTTTCTTGTTAATTAGCTAAGCTTAAGAACACCCTCCAATGTCAAACCCTGGCTTTCCTCCTGCAACATCATATGTCATCTCCAATGTCTTATGTTGAAAATATCCACATCTGAAGCATTACTATTCCCTGCAAATGCCAAGCGCACCTACGATAGATACACTCTGCCCGAAAAGTATCCCCGTCAGGTAGATCGAAACGTCCACATTTCCTTGGAAATAAAAGCTTATCTTCGGTATCAACACTGTATTATTGTTGCTTAGATCATAGCATGTGTCAACCAGGGACAGACCTTTAGTCATCGGATAATTCGTCATCTTTTGTCGAAAAGTCGTTCACAAAACACTATACCCGCCGGCAGTAGGTGAGTGATGATGGTGCCAGAGTCTATGATCAATCTTGTGGTCTTGAACACTGATTTTGCGATGGATAGTTTCTGTCCACCGACTGTGATCCCTTTTATGTCAACAAAGTAGAATGATTTGTTTTTTGAGTTTTTGGAGAATATGTGAAATTCAAGGCACTAGAGGGTCCTTTTCCAAATGTTAGGTGTCCAGTTGAGCTCGACGTTGATGGAAGGTAGTAAGAGAAGTATTTTTGGTACATTGAAGAAGTTCGCGAGATGACGGACAATTGATTTCATGAGAACCCTAATAATCTGGTAGTGCCACTAAATAGGCCATCGTTGCTTTGGCTGCAACCGAATTGGAAATTGGGCAACACATCGGTGGGAGTCAATGCCAAAGTGTCTTTGCTGAAGAATCCTGTGGAGTAGGACTGATCGACGTACTCTATGTCATAGATGTAGGTGGAGGAGTTGGAGCAACTCTTGATTACACTGGCAACATCAGAAGTGAGTTGAGTACACTCAGTCGAGTTACAACTGATGTTTTTGTAGGCTGTGGACTCATTTGGGTTGAAAATTGGTTCTTGTTGTTGATAGTAGGAGCTAATACATGGCTAGCACTAAGTCCAGGTGAGGTTGCTGCCCGTGTCGAAGACGAGGGTGAGGTCCTTTTTTAGAGTTCTGAGTCTGACGATGATGACAAATTTCTCGGTGCCGCTTGAGGCGCTAGAGTTTACTGAGAGAGTGTGACCTTAGAGGAGTTTAGTATATTGTTTTGGTCTGAGTTGGAGCTGAGTCGAAAGTGAATTAAGTTGACTCGGGACTGGTCTTCATATAGGATTTGAGTCAAGGTTTTAAATATCAACCGGTACGTGCCGTACCGGCCGGTTCGTACCGAAAAATGGGAGTGCCGAGTCAGATACTCACCAGTATACCGGTGAGAATGAATTTCGCGTCCGTAGCAGCCGATTCCCGATACATATCGGCCTAAATCCGATATGTGAGTGATATAGTTCCGATACAGTCCGATACGGCTGAAAACGAGCAAAGCACCTGCAAAAATAATTGAGCAAAGCAAAGCACCTGGAAAAGCAAAAAATAAGGAGCAAAGCACCTGCAAAAGAAAAAATAATCGACCAAAGTACCTGCAAAAACAAAAGCAAAAGCAGAAAAAAAAAAAAAAAGGAAACAGACTCACGGACTCAAACATTTCACTTCAAATTTTTTGTCTTCAAGCAATAATACACACACAGACTCACAGACACCATAAATGTGTAAAGAAAAACCCAAATCCAACTCCTCGATCAAACCCAAATCCATCTCCCAGGGGCATCGATCTTGTAAAGTGTTGCAAGGAGAAGCATCGAATCGAACCTAAACCCATCACCGATTTTAAGCTTCTTCGTTGAAGGTTTGTTCTCTCATGCTCTGCTTGTATTTGTTTGTCATGCTCTGTTTTTCTTTTGGCTAAAGAAGTCATGGTTTTGCTTGGTAAGTTGTGTTCGGTTTGTTTATAATTTTATTTTTTTTTTCTGTGGTTATTTTTTTATTTATATTATGGTATGGGATGGTTTTGCTGGGTAAGTTGTGTTTGGTTTGTTTATAATTTGTTTTTTTTTTCTTTTTTCTGTGGTTATTTTTTATTTATATTATGGAATGGGATGATTTTGCTTGGTAAGTTGTGTTCTGTTTGTTTATAATTTGTTTTTTTTTTCTTTTTTCTTTTTTCTGTGGTTATTTTTTTATTTATATTATGGTATGGGATGGGATGGGAATGAGATATATTTTAATATATATATTTATAATTCTTCAAATATTTATATATATATATATATATATTATCTCCTATGTGTTGATTAGTTTCTTTGCAGAGTCCAACATTATATGCACCGAATTCTAAATCATATTTTTCCCATTTAATCATTTTGTTTGAAAAATTATCTAACATTATGTTGAGAGGTGGAGGTTAGTATTGTATTAGTACCTTAACTTTATCGACATAGAACTCAGGAGCAATTGTTTTTAAATGCACAATATATAAGTTCAGAAGCTCAATATATTTTAAATGCACATAATTTTTTATATATATATATTTTTTTTTCTTAGCAATGTACCTGTAGAGTATGTTTCATACTTATTTCACTTCTTCATTCCTGTAAGTTGATTTATTAGACTCATTGTTCATGGACCAATTAAAACCAATAAATTAAGTGGTAGGTAGCAGTGTATAATTAGGCTCATGTATCGAATCTGCTTGACTGACTTTCACTACAGTTTTCAAAACTTTTGTCTATCAACAGCTTGATTGTTCAATTTTTTTTTTAAAGAGGTTTAATATTTTAGATTTTTTATTTTTATTTAAAGAGATTTAATCTGTCAGATTTTTTATTTCAGATTTTTTTTATTTCAAATTTTATTTTAGATTTTTTAATCTATCAAATCTTTTTATTTTAGATTATTTTTATATCAGATTTTTTTTAAAGAGGTTTCGTCTGTTAGATTTTTTTAAAGAGGTTTAATTGTTAAGTAAAGAGGTTTAATATTTTAGATTTTTTATTTTTATTTTAAATGCATTATTATTAGTAACTAAATTAGAATTACAATATTTGTTAATTGAAAACTGTTATTGTAGATAATTGAAAGTTATAATGGCGCACGGAGGTGGTTCTAATGAAAAACTTCCAAGTGATGATATTGGTTGGAAATTTGGAATTCCACTAGAAAATAATAGGCATAAAATTAGGTGTAAATTTTGTGGAAAAGAGCTAAATGGTGGTATAACTAGGTTGAAGCAACATTTAGCCCATATGAAAGGTCAAGTCGCACCTTGTGCTAATGTCAGTGGTGAAGTTCGAACACTAATGATGGATCATTTGAATAATTATAAGGAAAAAAATCTTGACAAAAGGAAGATGAATGAGGAATTGACAGAACAAATTAGAGCCAGTCAGTGTGATGATGATGAAAATGATAAGGAGGACTTAGAAATGGTTATGGCCCGACAAAATAGGGCTAGTGATATTGAGGTTGCACCTCCTCTTGGTTTTGCTCGGCGAAGTCATAGTGTTCGTGAGGCTAGTACAAGTAGGAAATGGATTGATACATCCTCTCCAGAAGTTCAATTATTAGACATAGATGTGGATCTTCATAGGACCAAAGGCAACAAACAATCCAAACTCTCCTCTAGATTCTTGAAAGAAGCAAAGAAAAAATTAGGAAGAGCAGTTAGCCAGTTTGTATTGTTCACTCTAGTGCCTACTAATGTTGTTAATTCTAAATGGCTAGAACCAATGTTGGATACTACAAGAGAGGTTGGAAAAGGAACAAAGCTACCTACTTCTTATGAAGTAAGCCTCTAACTTAAAGTTTGAAAAAACTCTATCTATGTTTAAAAATAAATAAATTATTAAGATGCTTGTTAATAGTTTTTGTTTGTTATTTATTATTAAACAGGTAACCGAAGTGTATTTACCAATGGAGTATGAAGCTTTACAAAATTGGATAAAATCTCATAAATCTAGTTGGGCTGAGAGAGGTGTTACAATTATGTGTGATGGATGGTCTGGGCCCACAAGAAAGCACATTGTTAATTTTCTTGTGCATAGCAATCGTGGAACAATTTTTCAGAAGTCTGTGGATGTAACTGATGTACCTAGTAGGACAGCTGATTATTACTTAGGCCTCATGGACAAGGTAGTAGATGAAATTGGAGAAGAATATGTTGTGCAAATCGTAACTGATAACGAAGCTGCGATAAAGGCTGTTGGTTACAAACTCATGCAAAAAAAGGGAGAATCTGTATTAGACAAGATGTGCAGCTCATTGTATTGATCTTATGCTAAAGGATATTGGGAAGAAAAAAAGTGTAGCAAAGGTGTTGGATTGTGCAAAAATAATCACACGCTTTATTTACAACTCCAATTGGGTCGTTGATTTCATGAAGAGATTCACAGGAGATATGGAGTTGTTACGTCCTGTCATCACACGCTTTGCCACCAATTTCATTACTTTGGAAAGCATTGTTAAACATAAGACTGCTTTACAGGATATGTTTCATTCTCAAGACACAGCAAATGGTCCAAAAAGGATGATGCAAAAGAAGCGAAAAAAATTATACAAAGTAAAGATTTTTGGACCAAGGTGGAAGATGTATTAAAAGTTCAAGAACCACTTCTAAAGGTGCTTACACTTGTAGATGGGGATGAAAAGCCCACAATGGGTTTTATATATGAAGCCATGGATAGAGCAAAGTTGGCCATCAAACAAAATTGTCGCTATTATGTAGATTATTGAAAGATTATTGATAATCGATGGGCTTTCCAACTACACATGGACTTGCATGCTGCTGGTAAGTAATTTTTAATTTACTTAAATTATAAATTATGTGTTCCTTGTCTCACTTTTATTATTATTTTATATTTGAACGTAGGTTATTTTTTAAATCTCATATTCCAATATGGGGAGCACCTTTCTAATCATCGAGAAGTGATGAGTGGAGTTAGAAATGTGATTTCGAGACATCTACCAGATTTAAACGAACAAATACAGGCGATAAAACAAGTCAGTCATTATTTAATATTAGTTAAATTGATAATTTATTATTTGACTTGTGAATTATGTTTGTAAAATTTCTTATTGCCTTTTGTTCGTTGCAGATCTCTTTATTTTGTAATAAAGAAGATTCTTTTGGTGCTGTGTTAGCACAAAGAGCAGTGAAAGCAACAAATCTTGGTAATTATTATGTAACGTCCTCAAAATAAAAACATTAAACCCATCAAATAAGACATGCATTGATATGTAAAAGTTCCACATTCTTCCATATATCAGAATTTCATTACATAAGTATTACATGTTAACAACAAAAGCAAATGCCCTATGGGCAAATTATAACATAATCACTAATATTTGATTGATTTATATATAGCTGAATGGTGGATCCATTATGGTACATTGGCTCCGGCACTCCAAAAAGTGGCTGTGAGAGTATTGAGCCAAACCACGTCTTCTTCTAATTGTGAGCGCAATTGGAGTACATTTAGCCTGATACATACAAAGACAAGGAATCAGTTGAAGTATAAGAAATTAAATAAACTTGTTTATGTGTATTACAATATGAGGCTAAAGATCAGACATGCAACACGAAAAAGCCAAGATAACAGAGAAGAATCTTTTAACCCCATCAATCCTGACTATATATTTGAAAAAGATGATCTATTAACTCCATGGCTTCAAGAGAGAGAACATGCAGTCTTGGATGATGAAGATAACTCAGGTTGGTTGATTGTTGATGATGATGATGATGAGGGGGATCATGCAACTAGTAGCCAAGTATCTCAACACCATCAAAGAGCAAGGTCTGCTAGAAGTGGCTCTAGTGAGGGTCGCGGTAGTGGAGATGATAGTGATGGCAGTCGTCCTCCAACAGGTGGTGGTAGTGATGGACAATGGGAGTCTACAGGTTCTGCACATGGTTGTAGACGCAATATTCATCATATTGATCATGATTGGAACAGGGATTCTACACAGCAACGATGACATTCTATTTCTACTCCTGATGTAGAAGCATCAATTGGGCGTTCACGACATATTGATGATATTTATGGTCATCGTGACCTTAGAAATCAATTTGGACATCTCGGAGTTAGACAAGAAGATGGAAGGGGAACTCAACATTGGCAACCAATATGCCAAGTACCATATCCTTATTACCCTCCTCCAAGTCAACCACCACCACACATCTATCAACCACCTTATATGGAAAATTGGAACTACTCTCAACAACCTCATCAATATCCATATATAGAGGGTTTCAATTATGGTATAAGGGGGCTTGCAATGACACAACAACAATCAAGTAGCAGTGGCAGCAACGATGCAAACAAGATAATAAACAACTACCAACATCCACGGACACATGTCCGGATCACTGTACAACAAGAGTAAAACCCGGGATCGCTATATATTATATACTCAATGAACTATTAACTATTTTAATTACATATTATTGTTACATTGTCAACACTTCTATATCAAATTATAACATAATCACTAATATTTGATTGATTTGTATATAGCTGAATGGTGGATCCATTATGGTACATCGGCTCCGGCACTCCAAAAAGTGGCTATGAGAGTATTGAGCCAAACCACGTCTTCTTCTAATTGTGAGCTCAATTGGAGTACATTTAGCCTGATACATACAAAGACAAGGAATCGGTTGAAGTATAAGAAATTAAATAAACTTGTATATGTGTATTACAATATGAGGCTAAAGATCAGACATGCAACACGAAAAAGCCAAGATGACAGAGAAGAATCTTTTAACCCCATCAATCTTGACTATATATTTGAAGAAGATGATCTATTAACTCCATGGCTTCAAGAAAGAGAACATGCAGTCTTGGATGATGAAGATAACTCAGGTTGGTTGATTGTTGATGATGATGATGATGAGGGAGATCATGCAACTAGTAGCCAAGTATCTCAACACCATCAAAGAGCAGGGTCTGCTAGAAGTGGCTCTAGTGAGGGTCGCGGTTTGAGTCCACCTAGTGGCAGTGAAGATGATAGTGAAGGCAGTCATCCTCCAACAGGTAATGGTAGTGATGGACAATGGAAGTCTGCAGGTTCTGCACATGGTTGTAGACGCAATATTCATCATATTGATCATGATTGGAACAGGGATTCTACACAGCAACGACGACATTCTATTTCTACTCCTGATGTAGAAGCATCAATTGGGCATTCACGACATATTGATGATATTTATGGTCATCGTGGCCTTAGAAATCAATTTGGACATCTTGGAGTTAGACAAGAAGATGGAAGGGGAACTCAACATTGGCGACCAATATGCCAAGTACCATATCCTTATTACCCTTCTCCAAGTCAACCACCACCACACATCTATCAACCACCTTATATGGGAAATTGGAACTACTCTCAACAACCTCATCAATATCCATATATAGAGGGTTTCAATTATGGTATAAGGGGGCTTGCAATGACACAACAACAATCAAGTAGCAGTGGCTGCAACAACACTACTTATGATCAATGCACTTTCAATAACTACTACCAGGAATATCAATATGGAGAAATAGGCCAACCAATTCATAGTGATGATCAAAGTGATGTGAGATATGGAGATTCTTCTGTAGCACCACGTAATTCTTTTTATTACTAAGTTTTAGAGTTGTTGATTTGTAGTAGATTGTTTGTATGCGATTATGACTAAAGCGAATGATTTATTTTCATGTTCCTCTTTCTCTTATTAATTTGTTGTGCATGTGGAAGTATTTCATTGTTGAAAATAAGTAAAAAAAATATTTCCACATTAATTTTATATTAAAAGTTTAACATATATGCCAAATAAAAGCTTGAAACTAAAATAAGTACATATCATTTAGTTGAAAATGGGTCAAAAGTGCCTCTACATATCAAAATTTTGATTAAAATGTGATAAATTAAGGCTAAAAGAGTCAAAAAAAATGCATAAAATTGAGTTTAGAGGGATTGCTAATGATTTTTGAAGTTTCACAGCCGCGGCGCCCAATACCCGATACGTACCGGTCGATACTACCGATACCGATACTCCGCAATCGATACCGTTACGTTACCCGATACCACGATTTAGAACTATGATTTGAGTCACATTTGGAGCACTGGCTTTGTCTAGAATTAGGTGAGAGCATGGCTCGTGCTTGTGAACTACTTTCAGTGTTGCCTTTTTGCTGAGACCTATTAAAATGTAAAAGCATAGAAGACAAACAAATTATACATAGAATGTACATGAATTAATAAGATTGTTTAGATGTAGATATCATCAACATTTTGTAAAATTTTATCTATTTATATATATTTTTTGTTTTTCATTTTGTAATGGGCTTTTGGGTTTGTAATAGAACTAATAAAATTCTACATAAATATGATGTCAAAATGACATATTTTGTAATTATGAATTATAGTGCTAGAATTTATGACCTCTTCAATGATAAATATAAATAAAATACAAGCCTAACGAATAACTTGCTTGTTTTTAGTTTTTCAAAAACTCATGTAAAAGGAAAATCCAACTTTATATGTATATATACTTACACCCGTGCAAAACGGATGTAGATCAGAATTTGTAATAATGGTTATATCTATTCTAGGCTAATTTGGATTGGAGAGTCTTGTACGCATTTGTGATCTCATTTTGATAATTTAATCATTAAGTTTGTAAAAATTTTCTATATAATTCACACAAGAAATTAGATATATTCAATAATCATAACTTATTTAGTTTATTACATTTCTTTATTAAACAAATGAATGATAATTATATTTTTAAAAATAAATTATTCATCTTTTTTACGACAAACATGATAAATTAAACAAATTATAATTATCAAATTAACTTGATTTTTTTTTTTTTATCAATGATTTACAACAAGGCTTGAAGATTTTAAATTATCAAAACAAAACTATGAGAGGCTCACAGGGCCCGAACGTCACTTTCAGTTCAGATCTATACTAAAGACAATCTAAACCCTATGGCCCAGTTTGTTTGTTGGAGATGGAGGGTGGGATAGTATATAATATACTGTGGGCCCAATATATCTATTGTTTGGAAAAAAATTTTGGAGGAGATAATATACCTCTTCATTGTATATCTCCTATTTTTAACACTACCCCCCGTTATTGTATATCAAGGGGGAGGGGATAAGAAAATATTTTACTCTTTTACCCCTTGCTATATATAATAACCCACACAGGAAACCCTACATCATTCTCACCATCTGCCGTTGCAAGAAGAAGCGATAGAGAAACGGTGCTGACCAGTTGCCAAT